GGGAGTGTTCCGATAGACTGATTTAGGCAGATACTTTTTACACGCGGCAAGACTTTATTTGCGAGACACCATGGATCTCGAAAAGTTAGTAGCTCTTGGTGAGAAGATGGGTCTTTCTGGCGCCGAACTACGGAAGTGGGTCACCCAGAAGGAAAAAGAAGAAAAAGAGAGGGCCAAAGAAGAAAAGGCAGCTGAGCTGGAAAAAGAAAGGCTGGTGGTCGAAAGAGCCAAAGCGGAAAAAGAAGCTGAGTTGGAACGAGAGAGGTTGGCAGCTGAGAGAGCCAAGGAAGAAAAACAGCTGAGTTGGAACGAGAGAGGTTGGCAGCTGAGAGGGCGAAGGAAGAAAGAGAGCGACAATTGAAGTTGGAGCGGGAGAGAGAAAAGCTGGCCGCTGAGAGGGCGAGAGAAGAGAGGCAAAGGAGCGACAGCTGAAAGAAGAAAGAGATGAAAGGGAACGGCAGCGGCAGCACGAGATGGAACTCGAGCGGCTCCGGTTGCAACAGCGAAGTGAAACTCCCGTCCAACCTAGAGTTGAAAGCAGCGAACGGGAAGATCATGGCTTCCGCTTGAACCCAAGCAAGCTGCTCGTGGCGTTTGATGAAAGGAAGGACGACCTTGACGCGTACCTTCACCGATTCGAGACGATTGTGAAGAGCCAGAATTGGCCGGAACATCAATGGGCAACTGCTTTAAGTACCTGCTTGAGTGGTGAAGCGCTCAGTGTGTACGGCAGGCTGACGCCGACCGATGCAGCCAACTATGCAAAAGTGAAAGCTGCTTTGCTGAAGCGATTTAGATTTACTGTAGAAGGATTCCGGGACAGATTTCGGACAGGAAAGCCAGCTGATAGTGAGACGGCTACGCAGTACGCCGCCCGACTTAGCCATTATTTCGACAGATGGATTGAACTTTCAGGGACAGCGCAGGAGTAGGATCAACTTAGAGAGCTCCTAATTAGAGAACAATTTCTTACTAGTTGCCACCCAAGCCTGTCGCTGTACTTGAAAGAGAGGAAGGCTGAGTCACTTGAAGGGATGCTTGAATTGGCTGATCAATTCTTGGAAGCGCAAGGGGGAACTAATTTGGCCAAGGTCAAGAAGGATTGTCCCGATGATTCGAAGAAATTGGCTCCCGAAGAAAAGAAGCGTGCACCAGAGAGCATTCCGCGATGTTTCCTGTGCAACCGAGTGGGTCATCGCGCGAAAAACTGTCGAACGATCTTTACGAGCCCTACGGCAGTAAAATGTTTGAAGTGTGGTCAGACTGGGCACAAAGCAGACGCTTGTCGGAACGGAGTGAGTCAAACTCACCAGGTATCCTGTGTGCAAGCGGCACCGAAATCTGATAATAATGCCGTCACCGATGGATTCGTAGAGTTGAAGAATGGGGAGAAAATTCCTATTGTGGGTGCTGTAATGTCAAAACAGCCAACCGGTGTTGCGAAAGGAATGCCAACGCTGCCTAAAAAAGTTGCGGGCAAAAAGATTACGGTGTTAAGAGATACCGGCAGCTCCACTGTTATCGTGTGGAGAAACTTGGTACGGGAAAGTGAGTTAACCGGCAAAACGAAACCGGTTTGCTTAATTGACCGTACAGTTCGGATGCTTCCCGAAGCAGAGATTGAGGTTGAAACCCCATACTTCAGCGGGAAGGTTACGGCTCTGTGTATTACGTCCCCCCTTCATGACCTTGTCATCGGAAACATCGACGGGGCGCGAGGACCGAATGATCCGGAATGTTTGGGAGAAGACCTTAAGATAGAGCCCTCGCCAACCCAACGACCGCGAGATACAGTGAAGGAGCAACCCGTGACGGATCCCACTCGAGCCCAAGGTGAAGCCGCGGTGCAAGGGACTATGAATGATAAGATGATCATGTTGAACGAGTTCACGGGTCGGGCAGCTGGACTTACGTCGGCACGACCTCAACCGACCGGCAGTGTAAAGGTGACGGAGTCGGCCAGCCAAGCCCAATGTCGTGACATGAACGAGCTGGTAAATAAACAAACAGGACCCGTTGAACGTTATGACCCGTTAACGGTGTCGGAAGTGACAACGATGGCTGAGACGCCGCCTCAGATATTGTCGTGGGAAGGGGCTCGCCAAAAAGGAACGTGGAAACACAAGAAGAGATCGAGTGAGCACCGCAAGAAAGGGCGCAAGCACCGCTCAAAGTACACAGGATAAGTGCTGAAGTCGAATCAGAATGTGTTTGGCAGTGCTGAGTGCCATATGTTGTGTTAGTGTTGTGTTATCCTGTGTCACAAGTGTCGAAGTATCTGTGCTGTGATGTATACTGTTGTATAATCGTTGTAAAGACAGAACTTTGTACGTTTGTATTGTTTCGAATGTGTGATGAAGTGTTGTAGTCATGTACCTGAGGTTATATTTCATGTGTGTGAGATTGAATTGTAATGTCCAATTGTATTGAGTGATATATTGTGAATGTGACGTGTCATGAGCGACGGACTATGTTACAGTCTTTGAGTGTGTTTGGTGACTGTTCGCGCTCGTTTGTGTGGTTTGGAATATTATGAGATAATGTTCTTAAAGTGGGGGGCAGTGTCACAGAACGAGCGCTAAAAATGGGCGCGCCGCCAAATTCATGCGATAACGGGCGGGAGAAACGCCGCGAGGTCAAAAGAAAAAAAAAAGAGAAAACAAACATCCAAGGCTCCCCCGGGCGCGCGACACTCTCCCCTCGGAAGCGTGGCTTCGCCGATGAACCTCCTCACCTCACAGCGGCGGCCGGGCAAGCACTGGAAAGTTCCAGAAGGAAATAGGCGTGGTCATACCGAGTTGAGTCATCGGTCGGGGACGGCCCTCGTACAGTCTCGCGCCTCTCCCCAGCCTTCGCTGCGCATCGCGCCGACGAAATGACAAGAACCTTCTGGAATGTCGCGCGCAAGGTATTTAACCAAGCCGCCGAGATGAGAGATCAGGAGAAGACGGAAGTTAGCGCCAGAGCGCGTAGGGATTCCGCTGTGTAGTCGGCGAAGGTTTTGTCCCTAGGGACAAAGCAGGAGCGTGAGGTTTCCTGGAAGAGAAACTTCGGAGGAGAAGACGGAAGTTAGCGGCAGAGCGCGTAGGGTATTCCGCCGTGTAGTCGGCGAAGGTTTTGTCGGTAGCGACAACGGAGAAGAAGAGGATTTCCACCTGAGGGGTGAAGGCTCGAGCTACAGGCAAGAGCGTGTGTTTACCGCTATCGAGCGAAGACGCGTGGCAACAGCTGCGTGTGTGAAGCCGACGTGTTTCCGGCGAAGAAGTTGAAGCTTGAAGAGTGGCCAATTGAAGGCGCGAGGTTTCCTGGAAGAGAAACTTCATGGGGCAGCGGAACGACAACAACGCTGGACTTTGAGTGAGTGATTCTCGGAAGAGTATCATTCAGACTTTTGTTCCAAGGACTTTGGACTGAATAGGTTTTCTATCTCTTTAGTCTAAGCGTCTTGGTTGTTAAATGCATGCGACTGCATTGTAGTGTGAATTGTTGTCTGTGTTCGTTGTTTTGAGTGTGGCTGATTGCACTGTGAAGTACGTTGATTGATTGGTGACATATTGTACTCACTTATTGTGGAGTGTGCATACGTGTGTATTGTTTTTGATCTGCCGTTAATGAGAATATAATTTTGTTTGTTTATCAACTCTCGGCTCTGACTTGTTCTTTGGACCACAGCCGGCGTCCGCTGGCGCGCCAAAAAGACCACTTCTAAATTGTCCACGCTTTCGTGGTGCGGTTCGGGAAGCCGATACTTCGGCCCTTGGAATTAGCCCGGCGATTGCCTCCCTAATTAACAGGACCTGTGTGACAGCAAAGCATGCATTCTCCCATGTCACGTTGTGACGCATACCCCGTGAAGGCGGAGTTTAGCCCTGAGCACTCGAAGAAAGGGTTGAGGGTGAAAGGCGGAGCAGGGTACCTATTCAGTACTTGTATCTCCGTTAATAATGGCTGTTTCGATTGAATAATGGTGCCAATGATTTGCTCCAGTAGTGGTCTAATCCAAAATGGAATGTGAAAAAACCGTATCAGGGACCCTTTAAGGGAAGGCCAATAATGCAAGAGTTCTGAATTTTGGGAGACCATCGGAGACCAGTGCCAGCAAAGTACTCCTCGACAACCCAATGGCATCCTGCAGGGCCGTCACAATCTGGACGTCACTACCACTGAAGGACAGGATCATAATGTCTTCTCTCGTCTCGGCAAAAGTGCTGGAAGCTACAGGGAGGTATTTGGCATGGGTGAAAATTTACATCACGTGTATCTCGAGACCTTGAACACCTTTTTCGATTGCCCAACTTTTTAGTCTGACTGTGCGCGCACACACGGAGAAGTCGCGGCCTTTTGTGGCGGCCCCAGTAATCACCGAGCACCATGCCATGCTCAAAACAATGGCCGATACTTGGCCTGTTATGCAGCGCCTTTGGCGCCTGTATTATAATTTGTCGAGAGAAGAAAAAGCGCTTTTTGGCTGACTTTGAGAACTTATTGTGAATTACAGGCCACCTGCTGCACTTTGACTATCGTTTGACTATCGGCTTCGACTATCGATCGGCAGTGTTTTGTGACAATGCTCAAAGTGTTGCAGGGTCTCTTTAAGAGCTAAATATATCGTGTTGCTTCCAGTGCAAGAATGTGTAACTTCAATAAGGCTTTGTTTCCAAAGCACTGAGGTGCTATATGTAACAGACTAGTAAAAAAAGACGTAATTTCTGAAAAAAAAAAAACAACTGTTTTGTGTTATATGATTATTAGCAAGAGAAACATCGGCAAACATAGAAAAACTTCAGGTGCATGGGAAATGAATTTTGCCTTCCAGTGTTGGCAAGCCCGCTGAGCACCGCAGTGACACTTTAAGTAATGTGGCCGACAATTTGACACTATAAGTACAAATTCTGATATAAATTGTGCACTTCACTATCAGTTTTAATGGTCAATAAATTCAGATGACATAATCACATTTAACACTACTATGTGTTAACATGTAACTACTCTGCTCCATGTGCAATTTAAACGCATTTTTTTATTCGGCAAAGTATGCAGTAACTACAATTGCTGCTTTGCTCACATTAAAAAACTCAAAACCGAGAAGTACTAACAAGTACAGCATAATAACAGTGTATTCACAGCTTTATTTTATTTTGATGTTCTTCACCTACACAAGACCAGTACAATTCGTTTACGCTGTGACACGAGGAGTTTTGTGTCCAATATAGAGAGCTTGCAGGATTTTTCAGAGCAGGCCCCGAGTGATGACACCTTCTGGAGGCTCCTGCAAAGTTGAAGTCTCGTCCACAGCTTCAATGCTGCGCATAAAGCGCGCGAGGGTAGCAATGCCCTGCATGTAATGAACGTACAAAACGTGCTGCAGTTAGTGCACTTGAGTGACAGCACACACTAGTGTCCTGACAGGATTAACTTCTAAGCAATTTACAGTGCAGAGCAATGCGCTGATAAGAAAGAGGCAACATGGCAGATGCGGTACCTATTTCAAGAAGTCAAAGTTTCGCCACTAGAACGAAGCAATGAATGCGATAGCAAGAAATTTGAATTTCACAAGAAGAAGGACTACCGTAATTACTCGAATCTAACGCGCACCTTTTTTCCAGGGTAAGCGAGTTCATAAATCGCATGCGCGTTAGAATCAAGTACGAACAAAAAAAATTACGGTCAATCTATTGCCATCGGCAAATCCAAAATGGCCGCCCCCTACGTGCGTCGGCATGGTGCGTCGGCCATTTCTGCCTATGTGTTTCCACGAGCGGCACTTCGTACGTGTGCTGAGGAGTTCATCATCTAGTAGTGCATTAGCATCGACGGCGTGGAAGGGCCGACTCCAAAAACTCGAGTGCACCACGATGCCGCTTTTAAAAGAAAAGTCATCGCTTGTGCAGAAACGGACGGAAATCGGGCCGCATCGCGGTCGTTCGGAGTTCCCGAAACGTGCGTGCGGGACCGGCGGAAACAAAAGCAGAAGATTGTCGACAGCAAAGCTTCACGCAAAGGCTTCAGTGGACCACAGCAGGGTTGGTTTCCGCAAATTAAAGAGCTGCTCGGCGAGTATGCGCTTGAGCAGCGAGCGGCACAGCGGCCCGTGACGACAGAACTGCTCGAAGTGCGGGCTATGAAATTAGTCTTAGAAAAAGGTCTAATGCGGAGCCAGTTTAAAGCGAGCAGGTGCTGGCTAACTAACTTTATGAAGAGGAAAGGCTTTCCTTCCGAAGGGGAACATGCATATGCGAAAAGTTTTGCGGAGGAGTACGATGAAAAGCTTCACAGTTTTCAGAGGTTCGTCCTAGGCGCAACAACGGCTACCTGCTTGGGCAAATCGGGAATGCCGATCAGACGCCTCTTTACTTCGACATGCCTGGCACCACAACCGTCGAGAAGAAGGGGGCGAAGCAAGTTCGCGTGCTGACATCGGTCTACGGTAAAACTACAGTGACGGCAATGCTCTGTTACACATCAGATGGGCACAACCTTCGCCCGTACCTCATATTTAAATGGAAGACGCTCCCGAAAGGAGTCGTTTTTTCGAGTGGTGTGATCGTGCGGGCCAGCGAGAAAAATGGGTGCGCGTTGCAATCGATGTCTTACGTTTTTTTTTTTTTTTTCGCGGTGGAAATCGGGTGCGCGTTACAATCGAGGGCCCGGTAGAATCGAGTAAATACGGTAACATGCTTATTACACACAAACTTGCCCACGAAAAAATTCTTCTAGAATACATTTCGTGCAGTCAGTATATAGGTACATATCAAGCGTGTGGTAACAGCAGTAGCAGCTTGATACTTTCAGCATGTCGCTACAGCACAAAGAGCACTTGAAAAGAACGCATAGGTATACACTGGACAAGTGTGAAGCAACAGTAGTCATAATTGTTACGTGCTCGTATTTCAGCAATGCGCTGAAAATGTCCACAATGCAGAAGCCGACGCCCTCTGAGTCTTCTGCCACGCGTTCTTGTTTCCCTTGAGTGGTACAGAGGGGGCCGTCTGAAGGGCAGTTTTCAGTTTGAAAGAAAATGTAAAAGCGTTGGTAACAGAAATCACACTCAAGCTGTTCCAAGATATTCATGCCATCAGAATAGCTAGCCATTATATCAGACACACAAGCATGACGAGTAGCTGTGTTGGCTGACACTGTGCGAAAGGTCCCTGGTTCGAATCCCTGGTATGTAGATTTAGATTTTTTTCTGATTTCGTTTTTATGCCTTTTTTTACATACATATCAGTGATGGAGGTGACTTCTCACTTTTTGCAACATACTTTGGAGCAAGAAAAGCGCTGCTTTGGAGCAGCCATAATTGTTTTCAAAGCAAAAAAAATGCTAGTTTAGAGCAGCTACTAGCGTTTTAGGAGCAGATATTAAATTTGTCGTACACTAACTGGAGTTCAGACCATCTCATAAATATTATTTCTTATGAAATATATTCAACAGACAACAATCAATGTATATTTCATGAAGCAAACAATGGCAGGTTGCCAGAAATGTGCTGAGAATAAATAAGCTGCCATTTAAAACATTAGTATTTGTGGCAGAAATCGAATAAAACCGGATAAGCTGAATGTCTCATTTTAGAAGTAACCACGGTACACTATAACTGTTGCCAAATAAGCAGCAAACAATTATTATGAGATAAAAGTAACCCTGTTCATTTTTACATTTCACTCCACTAGCCTGCATGTCTAGCTGAGAAAAAAAAAAACCAAACGAGCTACATGCTCAATATTAAATATTGTTACATAAAAATGCCAGTTTTGTTGCACATATAAGATTAGAGCCTATAATGCTACACACTAACAACACATTGAGAATATAGTATGCAGCTTCTTTTCAGTTACTCTAAGACTTATGAGTCAGTCAAACAGTAAAAGTTCGTCATTTTCATTCTCTCGGGGTCATTTTGAAGCAGGTTTGGAGCAATTACTAATTGCTGTTTGGTGCAGCATGAAGTAGCATTTCTCCTTCGAAGCAGTTTGAAGCAATTGGAGCAGCACTTTCATCACTATAATGTATTACCACGTATTGCCAAGCGCGTTTCTTATTTTAACTTTTGTTTGATTTGATTTTCGCCCACAAAGCCTGGGTAAGGAATGCTCAGTGCAAACTGTGCCCGATTGTTCGAGAAGGGTTGCGATGATCGTAGATCGTTCTGTTAAGATAGGCCCGCAAGAGGCAAACACACTCTATATTCCAGAGCTTGCTCACAGACCAGTGATAAGGCTGGAACATACGACAACACATGTATAAATGTCGCGGCTTTTCGCCACTTGTCAGTTGATTGACGGGAACATTCGATGACACATGTATAAATGCCGCAGTGCTTCACCACTTGTCAGTTGATCGTCGGTCCACGCTTTGTTTGCCGCTATCAGTGCCAGTGTCTTGCTGTTATCAGACTTTCCTTTTACGTGGAAACAAGTTCGGCCCAATCAACAGTTTAACTTAAACACCCAGCCTGCTCCCTTCGTCCCCAACAATACAGTCGCCGACCGATTTTTCGGACCTGGCGGGGACCAAAAAAAAAAAAAAAACGAAAAATCGAACAGTCCGAAAAATTGGTTTTTGCCAAAAATCTGAAGTTTATTGCATCAGGCAGGTTTAAAAAGTCTTTGATGCTGCCTTGCCTCAAACTACGCTTGGAGGCAATTTGGTTTGCCCGTATTTGCGCCAACGTGACATCGTCACCGTAAACGCTCGACAAAATTGTCACCGCGTTGGCAATCTCCGCCGCCGACGGCTGCGGGCGGTCGTCGTTGTCGTCATCCGAGCCGCTCTCCGGCTCCGGGACAACCTGGCGAAGAATTCCGTCGTCAGTGGCCTCCGCGCACGAAACAATGTCGTCGTCCGCACGACTGAAGTCTTTAAATGTCATTGTGGCAGGTAGATTCACTCCTACGCTGCGCAGGTCGCGCATTAGGTGCTCCCCTCCATCGGTGCCGTCCGGGTCGCTTACGTCCGGCTCATCCGCCTCGGGCTCTTCAGCAGCAGCGAACCCGGCATGCCTAAAGCAATGCGCGATGGTATCTGGCTTCACCGCCTTCCAAGCTTCGGCTAACATGTGGATGGCGGCCAGAATGTCGACCTTGTAGGCCTTCCCATTGTCAAGGCACAAGGTGCGGCTGGGCAGGCGGGCACGGTAGTGTGCCTTGATGTTTCGAATCACGCCTTGATCCATTGGCTGGAGCACGCTTGTGGTATTAGGCGGAAAAAATTCCAGCCGAATGGCCTCAAGGTTCGGCACGCTACCGTGCGCACCACAGTTGTCCACAAAAAAGATTACCTTTCTGCTCTGTCGCGCAAACTTGCAGTCAAGTTTGCGTACGTAATGTTCAAACAAGGACTGAGTGATCCATGCCTTGGAATTACTCTCGTATTCAACAGGGAGGGTTCTCACAGCCTTAAAACACCTCGGGTTTCTCGCCTTCCCAATAACAAGAGGCAGTTTCTCCGTACCGGTGGCGTTGGCACCTACCAAGACTGCTATGCGCTCCTTGCTGAGCTTTCCACCGGAACATGAATCCCCCGAAAATGATAGGGTACGATCCGGCAGCATCTTAAAGAAAAGTCCCGCCTCGTCACAGTAGAATATGTCCGAAGGAGCGTATTCTTGAAGCAAGGCTTGCAACTTCGTGGCACGGTAATCAGACACAATAGTCTGCTCCACCGCTCCGCTTTCACCGCTCACTTTTTTGAACAAAATTCCGTGCCTCTTCTTGAAGCCACGAAGCCATCCGTTCGTAAATTTCAAATCCTCAATGCCCATTTTGACAGCGAAACGACTCGGCCTTTTCTTTTAACAAATCTCCCGACACAGGCAGGTTCTTTGCCAAAACTCCTTTAAGCCACAACTGCAGCCTCTTCAAGGGCTGGATGAACGCCCTTACTGTCGTTCTTTTGGCTCTTGTTGTGCGAATTCTCGAACGCTGTCAAAATCTTAATGCGGTTTTTGACATAGTCGGATACCATTTGCTTGGAGAGGTGGTATTTTTTGGCGACATCTAGCTGGGAACGTCCACTCTCTATTAGCTTGATTATGGCAGCTTTCTTCTCCATCGTCAGGGTCGTATACTTCCCACGCTTCTTCACACCACCTGGCTCCCGCGATGGCACAGATGGCGGAGTCATGGCACCGAGAACACAAAATTTGATGCCGCAGATAGCCGCTGCGAAGCACACAACGTCTCGACGCTACGCGATACAACACGTGCAGAATGGTGACTGAAAAAAGCTGCAACAACAATAAAAGAATCCTTCTTTCGCCTCCTCCCCGTGCGATGTGATGACGATAGTGCTGACCGAAGACGAAAAAACGGCATCCATCACCGCGTCTTTTAAAAAGCAAACACGACCTCCGAAACTTAAAATATGGCATGCGCATTCCAATCTCGGAGGCAGGAAAGACATCTGAAGACCAAGCTTAGCCAAGCCGACGGAAAATCCAACATGGCGGCGTTCACAATGGCTTGGGGCGTGGCACAAAACGAGCGATTTAGTACCGAAAAATCGAACTTTCAGGGGCAAATTCGCCCGAAAAATCGGTCGAAACAATGCATTAGCTATATGGGATCCCTGACGGTGCATTTATGAAGTCTGAAATATCCAACAAGTCCGAATTTTCGGAGTCCGGAAAATCGGTCGGCGACTGTATACATATATGGGACATGACGGCAACAGCCAAAATCAGCCGAGAGTGCCAATAAACTGCTATCGCAATAATAATAAACTTAATCTGCTTCTTACACATACAAGAAACTAGTAGTTGGCCAAACATTTCCGTAAGGGCCAGCTGACCACAAGCATGCATTTCAGTGCATGCATATGTATACAAATAAGGTCATCCAGCTATTTACAGTGCGAAGCTACAAATCCCCTACGGTTTTTCACATAGAAGTTTCTCAACTGACAGAAATATGTCCGTTCATCTGGAATTTGAATACTGGGTAGCCTGATCTCCATCAGCTGAGCTCGGACACAAGGACACAGGGTAGGACAAAATAAAAAAAAATTGACAAAAGGCAAGCCTAGGCGGTGGTGGTGTGGTTTGAAACATGCTTGTTCTTCATCCTCATCAGCATCAACATCATGATGTTTAGTGGGTACCTTGCAGGAACTGTGCCGTGATGGTAAAAATAGAATGTGTGGTCTATAACATGCTTGTTCTTTATTGTTATCAGCATCATTGCCAAGATGTTTAGTGGGTACCTTGCATGAGCTGTGCCGTGATGGTAGAAATAGAATGTGTGGTCTAGAACGTGCTTTTACTTCATTGTTATCAGCATCATCATCATGACATTTAGTGGGTACCCTGCATGTACTGCACAGTGATGGCAGAAAAAGAATGAGTGGTCAGCAACAGGCTTGTTCTTCATCGTTATGAACATCATTGTCATGACATTTAGTGGGTACCTTGCATGTATTGTGCCGTGATGGTAGAAAGGGAATGTGTGGTCTGAATTGTGCATGTCTTTATCGTCATCAGTGCCGTCGTTAAAGGGCCACTCACCAGGCCCCAACCAAAATTTAGTTGGACAGTGGAAGTTCTTGGAGGTCCGATGAGGAACATTTTGTCACAAAAATTTTTTCGATCAGTTCATCACGAGCAGAGAAAACGGGTTTTTTGAAGCAGCGCGAAACGAGAGCTGAGAGCAGGCGAGCTCGAAACCCTTCCACTCCTCTGCGTAGCCTTCGCAAGCCAAATCTCTTCCCCGTCCTTTCAGGCATCCAATTAAGAGGTCACATGCGCATGACGTGCCCAAACAACTCCGAGCTCCAAGCACGCGAGCGGCGTTGCTTTGTTGACCAGCGTTACTTTGTGGTCTTCTGCCTGTTTCTGTGGGATGGTTTGGAAATGCTGGCTTAGACGGGGTAGAATAAATGAGCACAATGAGTGCACGAACGTGTAGGAGCGTTCCACGGCGGTCGTCTGCTCCATGCGCTGACCGCGAGTACACGAACGCATGCGAAACGCCGACACATTAGCCCCGCATCTCGCTGCAATTCACGGAAGAAAAATGGAAAAAAGACACTCACATTCCCTTACTGCATCTCATTATTTATCTAGAGCTTTATTAATCACTTCAAGCAACAAATAACATAAACTACGCATGCCGTGTTAAATAATTTTCGCCATGTCACGTGCCACTGTTTGCAACGTCAGAGCAGAGCCGTCTACGTAAAGGACCAACGCCACTGCATTGCCGTGTGCATAGGGCCATTCATACGCCCACCTCATGCCCTCATTCCCATGTCATTCTCTAGGCATGCGTCGGTAGAGGGGAGGGGGAGCAGCGTTCGTCTTGAAATTCGACCCATTTTCGCGGTGCATAGCGTTGCGAATTTCGGCAGACGTGATCATGAACGCCTCGTCTACGCATTGTGCGTCAGCTCAATATTGTCAAACCTAGTGAGTGGACCTATAATGTATAGTGGGTACCTTGCATGAGCTGTGCTGTGATGGCAGAAAGAGTGTGTGATCTGGAACATGCTAGTTCATCTTCACAAGTATCATTGTCATCGTCAGCGGCGGCTCGGGCGTGACAAAGGACAGGCCTCAGTCATACGCTGCTTCACATTTAATACACGAGACATGCTGTCTGTGTGTCACCGCTGTGTTGTAGTGAAGCACATATTTTCCGCAGTGGCAGATTTGAACTGACCACAAATCGCTTTCTCTTTCTTTTTGCTTTTGTTTTATTGCAATAGTATTTATATGAACGCTCCCAGCTGGTTTTTGCTGCTGGCGTTGGCTCTCATTCACTGTACATGTATACGTATTTATATATATGAAAACGCAAGAAAGTAATATAATCCAGAAAAAGACTACGACACGCAGAATTGAACGTCTGAACTCTACGTGAATGCGAGGCGTTAGCCACTGAGCCACAAAGGAGCACATCCTTCAACGTTGAAACGGCGAGCTATTTATATCTGCCACTTAGCACTGGTGGTGCCTATCTCGCGGTAAATAGAATGTTTTCAGCATTACCAGCGAGATGGCGCAATGAGCGCATATCGCGAAGAGCTAGGAGACAAGCGCGCTCATCTCCCACAAGTGCTTTGCTCTGCGGAGGGGGGGCTTATCTGTGTGCTTATCCTATGGTGGGGGAGAATCGCATGCCTACGGCTTCCACAAGAACGACTGCATTTAGTTGCAGGGCGCATAAAAGTCACTGCGCTCGGTGCACAGGCCCTGTTTGAAAAAGAGCACGCTTTTCAAACATAGCGAAATAACAACTGGGAAACTTGGTAGTTTGCACTCATATGTACATGTGATTGCGTTTCGCGTGTCGTTATTTTTTTGTTTAAATGGTGCGTTAAGTGTAGAGCTGTAAATGTTATTCGCTCTCGTCGTGTGTGTGCTGTTTTCGTGCATCACTTGTATGCGAGCAGCGTGCTGCACATTTCAATCTGTTAGCCGTTCTGAGCGTTACATCCCTAGTTGTTGCTATCGCATTCATTGCTTCACCCTTGCAGTGAAACTGTGACTTCTTTAGGGGCGAAGCTCCTAAAGCCGTAGATCTGTCCATCCCTTGTGTTTTGTTTTGGTACGTGACCGCCTAGTTCTATGACTCACTCAGCAGCTATTGACGGAAAGACACACAGAGGGACGATTCACGATTTCCCCATAAAATTCTCGAGCTTCGCCCCACTCCGTGAGTATGCCGCGTGTTGTTTTTTGCACTGGCAGCAGTTACATTGTGGTTCTTCACCTGTCACTCTTTAGTAGATGCCTAATTCTTAGGCACAAAATATCGAGTTTCAGGTGCCAAGAATAGGCAGGCCGAACAGCATTTTGGGCACTGAAAATAGGCTGGCAAAACTCATTTTAACCCTCGAACATCGCAAATGCCAGCACAATAAATTTTGACATAAACAGTGCATTACCCTGTCAAAGGGCCGTTGTTGCCATTGATTTGCGGCAAAAACAACATCGGGGATCGGCAGATGGTACCCAAGATTTTCTAATTTATCGGGCTGCTGCTGTTTCCTCCTCCAAGTGATCCACTCAGACTTGCATTTCGAAATGTGGGATCACAAAAATCCTTATAATTAGGTGGTATTTCGAAATAATAGACTTAAAATTAATGGCGTTTCACAGTATTTCTACAGCGGAGATTCTTAGTCTGATGCAAAGAATTCTCTAGGACAAGGAGGGAAATGTATGTAGACATTCGAGTGACAAAAAGAAAAAAAAACATTGCCTCAATCAGCATTTTGACAGATTAGCATTGATGTTCAAATAGTGCAGACTCCAAGATGCCTTGCTCATCTTGAGAAATCTTGAGGCACTCATGAAGCATTCTCAAAATGAGTGCCAACTGATAAGTGAGCATTTTATTAAAATAAAATAAAGCATACACATGACCGTGTGCAGGGTTCTCCTTCAGAAGGGAGGGGGGGGGCGACGATTCGCAGCAGCACACCCACTTCCAATTAATCCAACTTTTGGGGCAGAGTTTGCACCCCCTCCTCTCTAGGTAACTAAAGGGGGTGGCCTACTTTGCACATGCCTATGAGCATACAGACTTAAGCCTGCAACCTACAGAACACCCAAAAAGTTGAAGCCCTGTTGGCATCGTCACATTTACCTAAATGAGCAAAACATGGTCATAAATGTCAGCACACATCTTTTAACCAGTGTCCCCTTTTATTGGTGTCATGCACCATTAGCGTAGGCATGCATCCAAACTGAACAGCCCAAGTAAGCTTTTATGTGAGATGCCAGGATTCGAAGCTATGAAGGTTTCCCTATATTTGTGAGAAAACCAAACTTTTCATGACATTTTGGCAGTAGCTTGAACATTGCTTTGAGGACTTCCTTGTTCTCGAGAGAAATCTGCTGCAAAACACATCTCCTCAGACACTGTTTGTAGCGACGCCCAAAGGAAGGAAAATTGTGCATGCTCTAGGATTACATGCAGTCACCTTGAATGTGCGAGGCTCCGTGTAGGCTAGGTCAGCCAACATATGACGATCCAAGGCAAGGCGGCACTGCAATGAAAACAGTGTACTCCAAAGCCTTACATTACACAACGAGCAGCTCAGTCCAATGGTTTGTCTGCTCTATTAACCTCTACCAACCATATTAGGTTTTTCCTCAAATGTGTCCATAGTGTGTTTATTCACCAAATCAAGGGAGACAAAAAAAACGTAGCATGCTCTCTCTGTACACTTCAGACTCAATGCAAAAGCGACATTATAGATCAGGGAAACCAACTAGCCCATACCCGACTATTTCTGCCCAAAAAGTCAGCACGAGAAAAAATGTAATGCATCATTCAGAGACCGCTGTAAGGATCCCAGGAACTGCTACAGTGCAAATAGAAGCAGGTCGTAGAATTTTACTGTTGATTTAAAATCCAATGCATGGGGTGCGGGACCAACTCACTTATTGGCAGCGCTTCTGTAACGCATACGCTACGTTTTTAACTTGGAATTTCAAAATTACAGCAGTTTGTCCCCACTTGAATGCAGCGTGACGAAATTTCTGCAACAGGAACTAGCGAAAAGCTACACAATGAAACATTCAAATCTTACTTCATTTGCCGGTACCTTGTGGAGATAGGTTTGCACAAGGCTTACCTACTAAGCGCAACGGATGTAGGGATGCGACGTCCTCCACTGCCGCTGCGTGCGACGACGCTGCGGCAGGATAACAACAACGGGTTTATTAACCCACTATGTAGCACAGTGCGACACTCACGGGCTTGCAGGCCATATAGAGGACTCCGCAAGACCTAGCAAGTACGCTTGACTAGGGCGCGACGACTCCCGCACAATGGCCGAAGTCGAACGCACGAACGAGAAGCCGCCTGCTTAGCAGCGCGTCAACCTCTCGTGGAGGCCTGAAGGCATCTGCCGCACCGAGCCAATCGTCGGGCATAACACAGCTCGTAGGAGAGGAGGATGTCATGCGCGCCCAATGAGAAATGGCGCTGCGTTGTGACGTAGGCTCGCGCAGCGTGCCAGCGTAGCGTGCCCGGACATGCCAGCGCGGGAAGGAGCCGACGGTTGACTGGCCCAGACCAAGAGGCTTTTCTTGCAGCATCTTGGCGGATGCCGGTACTTATGCGCACCGGGTTACGCTGTCGGCGCGCGCGCGGCAGCTGGGGAACGAGGCGCCAGGTAGGAGGGCGCTTTGATTCCCACATCTCCCCCTCCTAAGATCGAGGCCGCCCTAAAGACGCCGTAATAACAGCATCCACCGACACCGAAAAAACTGAGGTCCAGCTCTGTGCCGTCCACGAGATCGCAGGGGTCCCGATGTCTTCGTTCGGCGGCGTCTCAGCAAGAACCTGGGGCCGCGGGAGGGCGGCAAACACCGCAGCAGCGATGGCCGACTTAATGAAGAGTCCGTGACGAGCACCGCCACGACCACCTGAACAGAGTCGGTCGACAGGGCAGGTTGAAGGCCCGGGCCAGGCGGCACCGCCGGAGCGGACAGGACCGCAGGGGCACCGTCTGACTTCGCTCCGTAAACCCGCGAACGGAGGTTGGTAGCCTTGTGCACCAGCAGGACACCACAAGCGTCGCAGTAGGAGGCCTCAGGAACAGGCGGCATGAAGGCACCACCGGAAGCGTCTAGAAGGTCTGAAAGAGTGCGTCCACGAAAAGGACGCGAGACGCACTCGGGGTCTACCTCCACCCAGATTTTGCGTTGCTTGGACCAGCGACGAGTCGACACGAAGGCGACTGGGGCCTCAGTGCCTTGTTGGAACATCCACGTAGCGACTTCACGACGAGGCGGTGTCTAGTTAGCCGGGGCCGGGGGAGCATTCGACGGAGGCGGCATGGACGTGGCCGATGCCTGCAGAACAACTGAGCGCGCAGCTGGTCTCCCGGGCTTTTTCTTGGAGGAACGGGCCATCAAGGAGGACATCACGAATGCTGTGGTGTCGGTGAAAAGCAGAAACGCAACTGAAGATGCGGCCCCGGAGGCGCGACAGGCTGGCCCAATAAAGAGAGTCTACTCCGTCGGATTGAAGATTGCGTGAGCCAATAAGCCGCACGCTTTCCTTCTATCGCCGACTACGCGGAAGATGCCCAGTGAGAGAGTGAGCCACCGGGGAAGGGCTTTTCTCTCTCGAGCAGCCGGGAGCGCTGGGAACTGGGTGGATATTCCATGCACAGCGCGTGTAACGGTGTTCCCAGGGAGAAAGCTCGCCAGGTAGCTGTTACTGTTGCTGCTGGATGGGCTCTCGCACAGCAGCTATAAATCTCCGTTCCCTTACATGGAGGGGATAACGTCCCGCTACATGCCGGTGGCGAAAATCATCCTAAAAGCGTTTTCGCAGGTTGTACCGGTGGCGTGCTCTGGAACCAGCCTTATCCCGGTTTCCCTGCGGTTCAGTGACCGCCTCCCCCTCCCCGAAGTCGTTGCTGCGGGCAACCAAAGGTTTGAGGTCGGAGACGTTAACTGGACCACCGACTGGTCTCCCTTGGGAGTCAGCCAGCTTGTATACCAGGGGCGACACTTTGGTGTGCACTCGATATGGGCCCAACCACTTGGCCGAGATGCCTTTGGCGGCGTCACTCAAGACGTGATTGCGCCTGAGGACGAGATCGCCGACATCGTAACGGACATCCCGATGTGACCGGTCGTATTGAGCCTTCTGACCAGCTCGCGCTTTTGCTAGGTTGGAACGCGCCAGGTTGAGGGCCGCGTCCATCCGTGAGCGCAGTTCCGCCGCGTAGCCAGACAGGCTGACCTTCACGGCGCTTGCCCCGCCGCCGCCCCGTAGGACGCGGTCCACGGGGTTAGGCAGCTCTCTCACAAAAGTTGAGGAAGGCGGGCGTGTACGCTGTCGAGCGATTGACCGTAGACCGTAAGGAGAAGCCGATCTCGTTAAGACAAGCATCCCAATGCCTGTGTTGTGGTGCAAAGGCTGTCAGCAAGGGCTTGATGTTCCGGTTGATACGCTTGGTCGGGTTGGCCTGTGGGTGATACGTGGTTGTTTTATGGTGCATAATGCCAAAGGCAGCCCACGCACACACAAACACCTTGGCCGTGAAATAGGACGCATTGTCCGTGATCAACTCCGCCGGAAAGCCAAAGCGGGTAAAGACCTCAGTCAACTTGTCCCAGATTGCGCGTGCCGTTAACTTCTGAAGGGGAAACAGTTCGACCCACTTCGTGAAGTGATCTGTGACAGCCAGGAGAAAAACATGGCCTCTCCGGCTTCTTGGTAAAGGTCCCATAATGTCACAGGCCGCGACTTGCCAAGGTTGTTGGCCGTCGATCGACTGCATGAGCCCGGGAGGCTTGCCCCAGCGAGGCTTCACGCATTGGCAAACGTGGCATCAGCGGCGTAGTGAAGGGCGTCGCGCTTCATGCCAGGTAGCGGAGCGGCACAACTTTTGAAAAGTCTTAAGGTTACTCACGTGTCCGGCCAACTGCGAGTCGTGAAAATAACCTAGGATGGCTTTCCTTAGACTGCGGGGTATCTTCACCTTGAAAGACTCCTGGGGGGCTTCTTCAGATGGGACGTAGCGCAGGAGAACACCGTCAGGGTAAGCAGGTATGAGTCCAACGTGCCTGCAGCAATACCAGCCTACTAACAATGTGTTGCAATACTAACAATCTGTTGACAAAACGGATCATCCTGCTGTGCCTTGAGCAGCTCTTCCCTGCTAAAGACGATGCTGGCGGACGTGACAGGGTCTACCAGGTATGCGTCCTCTCCCGAGGCTGTCGACTCGAAAGTCACTTCGCCATCGCAGTTCGCGCCTTTCGACCTTTTGGAGCCAGAGGGTTCGGGGTCTACTTGATGCGACTGCTCTCTGGAGTGGCGTACACAAGTGCCGCACGCCAAAACGGGGGCACGCAACAAAGCGTCAGCCACGACGTTCGAACTCCCTTTCCGGTAGCGCACAACAAAGTTGTACCGCTGCAAGCTCAACGCCCAGCGCGCGAGGCGGCCCGAGGGCTCGCACAAGCGCTTAAGCCAGGTGAGTGCCATGTGGTCTGTTTCCACCACAAATGGCACGCCGTCGACATAGCAGTCGAACTTCCGGAGAGCAAAAACTATAGCGAGACATTCCCTTTCTGTGACGCTATAGTTACGCTCGGCAGCGTTAAGTGACCGGCTCGCAAAGGCGACTGACAGGAGGACGCCGTCATGCTCCTGAAGAAGTACCGCGCCGAGACCCAGGTCGCTCGCGTCCGCTTGGACAACGTACTCCGTGTTCAGGTCGGGCAGCTTTAACTCGGCTGTTACCACTAGAGCTTCGGAAAGCGCCTTGAAGGCTCGCTCTTGTTCTGGCCCCCAGCTCCATCATGCCGACGTTTTCAAGAGTGCAGTCAAGGGCGCTTGGAGGGCCGCACAGTTTGAGATGAACTGTCGATAGTAGTTCACCATGCCCAAAAAGCACCTCAGGCTCTGAATGTTTGCCGGCGTCGGGTACTCCACAATGGCACGTACCTTCTCCTCGCACGGCAGAACACGACCGCTCTGAATGGTGAAGCCTAATAGTGAGATGCGAGTCTCAGCTATTTGAGCTTTCTTCAGGTTCAAAGTCAATCCGGCCACACGCAACCTCCCAAGGACATCCTCCAAGTGGTGAAGGTATTCCTCGAACGTTCGAGAAAAGATGACGATGTCGTCGAGGTACGCCATGGCGTGTTGCCATTTAGCGTCCCCTAGAACGCGGTCTATCAATCTGTGGAACGTAGGTGCAGCTCCAGAACAGCCAAACGGCATGCGGGAAAACTCGCACAAACCTCTGTCGGAGGTGAACGCAGTTTTCTCCGCGTCAGCCTGCTCCATCTGAACCTGTAGGTAACCGCGGCTAGCATCCAAGGTGCTGAAGTAGCAAGCACCGCCTAGAGCAGCCACGATCGAGTCGACGTTAGGCATAGGAGAAGCATCCTTCCTCGTGACCTCGTTCAGCCGGCGGTAGTCCACACAGAGCCGGTGAGAGCCGTCTCTTTTGAGGACCATTACCACCGGTGAACCCCAAGGACTGATTGAGCATTGGACAACTTCGGTCTC